TCTGTTAGCAGTAATTGCTACTGTTGAATGTACTGCTGCAATGCTCCAGTATTGAAGACAGCTAACACAGAATTCACTTTTACGATTTGCTTCAGTAGGACTGCAGTGAAACCACCCCAGAAAAAGTTTTCTCGCCTGGTGTTGAAGTCCTGGGCACATGCCAGCACCCTTCTGAGCACATTGCAGAAGACTTATCAGTAGGCCTCAGCCTTCCAGAACACAACAGATAAATGCAATCTCTTCCAATCCACAGCTGATCCCCATTGCAAATCATAGAATCACAGAATGGTCTAGGTTGAAAAGGACCGTAAAGATCATCTAGTTTCAACTCCCCTGCTATGTACAGGGTGCCAACCACTAGACCAGACTGCCTAGAGCCATATCCAGGGCTCCATGTTAATGTCTACAGGGATGGAGCATTAACAATCTCTCTGGCAACCTGTTCCACTGTGTCACCACTCTTTGAGTAAAAATACCTGCCTTTTGCTGATGCTCTTGAATCAAGATGGTGGCTCATGAGCTATGAGGACAAAAGAGCAGGTTATGTCCTCGAGAAGGGCAAGGCAGAGAAATCCCAGTAAGGTCTCTCTTAAACCAGCAGGGAACTGTTCAATTTGCTAAGCACTCTGGTGCTACACCCCAGAACTGTGATTCACATTTCTCCATCTATGCTTAGTCCAGAGCATGTAGTAACCTTTCTAATCACCACTCACATGTGCATTGGGTTAATCATGGGCCACCAGCTTAATGCAGTTGGTGTATGCCTCAAAAAGGATACCCTCCAAAACACTCCAGCAGAATTCAGCATACCCTCAGTCCCATGCCCCCCTGGGCTTGTGGGCCTGTCAGTAAGTCCCATGGTGTTTCTTAACAGCTCATGGACAGCAATTTCTCAGGCATTTGTGACTGCTTAGCAAAGGGCCCAATTCTCAATTGGCCTCATTTAGGTGCCCCCACCTGCCAAGAATACACCTACCAGGACAGAAGCTTCTGGTTTTGTCAGCCTCTTTTTCTTAGTCCTGCAGCTGAGGAATAAACTTCACTCTGATCAATCTGACATTTGCTACATATTCATTCCATTTAATCCCTAACACTTCCCGAATTATTGGCTTTCAAACACTTTGAGACATTTCCACCTTTGCAGAATTGTCAGCTAAAGCAGAAAGAACATACGAGTTGAAAAATCAGAGTCTGTTTCTCAAGTCAAAAATTTCCAGTGCCTGGGTTTTGTTTAAACTCTTAAGCAGCAGATGTCTCTGCCCTGAGCCAACTGGTATTTTAGAAACATTAGCAATGGCTACCAGTGACAGCAGTAATTTTGTGTGAAGATTGTAACAAAACCAATTTGCCTCCATTTAAAGGCAGCCCTTTTATCAGACCCCCTGAAGGTTCTATGATGCATGGGAGAATCTGTGCGGCCCCAGAGGCGATGTAAGCCAGCAAGAAATCACAGCCTGGGGCTGAAAACAAGGGCCACACTGATGCTCCTCCATGTCAAGATAGCAACATCCCATGCCACTGCCTGATGTTGAAATGCTCATAGCTCAGAAGAACAATATTTTTGGCCTCTTCAGACTACTGCTCCAACCTGAAGCAAATGTTAGTTGTGTCTGAAGTGTTGCCACCACACTGGAAAAAAGTGATTCACTCAGCTATTTTGGTGCTCTCCCAAAGAAAGAAAAGTTTTCCCAAAGAAAGGAGACAAGCCCTATCTAAAGTCTGAGGCTTTCTGCTTTTCTTTACCCAAACAAGGGGGCCAAATTAAGACTGCAGAGGCAGTCTTAAGTTCTTGCATTTCATACCTTTTAAGATTTAGAATTGGTAACCTGAGCATTCTTTTAGCATACATTTTGGATGTTGTGTTGTTTGCCTTGTATAACGCAATCATTGGACAGTACATTACAGATGCCAAGCCATGAAAACTATTTTCCTTTTTTTTTTTTTTGCATACTCCTTAGGCAGAGGGATTAGATTATGTTCTATTTCTTTCTGCTTTGCAATATATTTAGACAACTGAATGGCTTTTCATTTGGTACTTGTCCTGCAATTCATTTTCCATATCCTTTCCTTTCAAACTTGCGAGGCTTTTTTTCAGACTCTGGTGCATTGTGCATTGTTCTCTCTTGTCCTTCCATTTATGGGAAAGGAGGACATGCCTGGTGCCTATAACAATCAGTGCATCCACACAGGGTTTCCTGCTGCTGAAAGCTGTCTGTTAGTCCAGCATCTGAGCTCCTCCTATGAAAAGCTTTTCCTCCACTTCCCAAACAAGCAGAGCTGAAGGCATTACACCGGAACCTTGAGATCAGGGTGGGTGCGTTTGATCAGCATAATACAATTTCGTACCAGAGAGAGAAGAGGACATTGCAGAGGCTGTTCACTTTGTTATCTCAGCAGAGGGTGTTTGCTTTGTTATCTCGGCTCTGGTGGAGCTGTAGTGATTGATAGTGTTTTTATGTGAACACTAACTTTGCAAGAGGCCTTGGAACCAAGAATGTGGCAACTGTTTACTTCATTTGTCAGAAAATGAAAAAAGTTCCCCCAAAAAGCCTTCTCTCCAGAGGCTCTGCATCACTCCTTTGTTATTAATGGATGTCTTATTTTTTTTTTTTTTTCAGTGGAGCTAAGCCACTTTGCAAAGCCATTGCTGTGAAGAAAGAGGCAATTTCTTAGCTAGCTACTTCCTTGTCTGTCAGTGTGAATGGATGCAGCATGACGGGTCTGTCCCCTGAGCAGCCAGGCAGAGCCATAATAATGGCAGTCTGGGTAACATGTGGATGGTGACCTGTGCTAGTGAGTGACGGCAAGCTGAGCCAGCTCCAAGTGCATCAACTCTAAAATGTAAAAACCCAATAGAAGAGACCACAAGACAAGGTTTTGTTGCCAAAAGCACTCTAGCTAACCATGCATAGAAATTGGCATTTCTTTCCCTTAGGAAAATGCAAGCATTGCCAATGATCCCACTGTTGTCAAACCTCCCAGTTTGACTGGTCCATCATCAGTCCAACCTGCAGTTACTGCCCCCATACACTTCTCATTCTGGGGCATTGGTCAAGCTGAGAGGAAGCAGAACATGGTCATGAATTGGAATTTATTGGGCCTGTGTGCCACTCAACAGCTTACAAGCAGAGAGTTGCACCTTTAGCAGCGACATTTAGCCTGGCGTCTGTGCTGACTGGGCTCAGTTCCACCAGCCACAGCCAGAGCTGAGGGAACAGAGAGCGGGTGCCTCCTTCTTGGTGCAAGAGGCTGGCTTCATGGCAGCCTACAGTTTCCTCACACGGGGAGCAGAGGGGCAGCACTGATCTCTTCTTTCTGGGGATAGTGACAGGATCCGAGGGAATGGCATGGAGCTGCATCAGGGGAGAGTCAGGTTGGGGGTTAAGAAAAGGGTAGTCAGGCCCTGGAATAGGCTCCCCAGGGCAGTGTGCATGGACCCAAGCTGCTGGAGTTCTAGAAGCATCTTGGCAGCACTCTCAGCCATAGGGTTTGGACTTTGGGTGGAGCCAGAAATTTGTCTGAGTGGTTTGTGAGGGTCTCTTCTAACTCAGGATATTCTACATCTCTGTGATTCTATGGGTATGATCCAATCTGAGCTATAGCCCATGCAGCACTCCACAAAAGAGTGAAAAGAAGGTACCGAAGGTGTTGTAAAGGTCACAGGTGGCTCCAAGCCACGGCACATGCTCTCACTCTTCTTTTTCCCCTCTTTCGGCTGTTTATTAAATTAGTGATAGCCAAGTGTCAGGAAGTTCTTTTCTAGACAAGCAAACTTACTTTTAAACTTCTGCCTTCAGAGAGGCAGGTCTGCAGATTTGTTAGTGGCCATTTTTGTCAAAAAAGAACAGTGAAAAAACAGAATCCAAAATACTTTTGCTCTATTTCTAATATGAATAAGGTTTTCAAGGATATAGTGAGCATATACTGCCTCATACACCAAACAGATTTGATGGGTAGATAGATAACCTCAAGCACTCTGATTCCCATGGATATTCTGCTGTCTGAACTAGATGTTTCTTTGCATTTTATACGTTAATGAAATGCAACATGTATAATGTAGCGCATGGACTTGGGAATACCCAGTACACAAAGAAATCTGCTGGGAGAAGTTAATAAAGTATTGCTGTTACTAGGATACCTAATTGTGCCTCCAACAGCTTCTACTCATACCCTTAATGCTTTCCTACTCAAGCAAGCAGATGCATCACTTCAGTTCATCGTTACGATTAGCAGTCCCTGTCTATCTCAACACTTTCTTTGTTAGGCAACTTATACATGCTATCACATTTCCTGTATCACATAATTACACACTCAGCACAAGGTGAAGATGGGTGGAGTTACACCATTGTTTTTGTTGCGAGCAAAAAAATAAACACAACAATTCCATAAGGAAAGCATAGCTATAACATACAGTCATTTACATATGCAGAAGTAGAAAAAAACAGCATTTTCTCATCATATGAAAGGAATTGAGGTTGGAGTAATCCGTCTGTTCTTGATCTGATGCGTACCTTGGTAACAAGTGCAAGAGGAAAACTCCAGGATATTTGCTAAAGGTATTTACAATATGGTCACAGGAATACCCTTTTGCTCATGTAAACAGCAAAAGTAAGATTGTGTAAGCAAGTAAAAGGAAGTCCTCTGCACTTTGTACTGTCAGAGTGGACAGCTTGCAGTGGACATGAAGAATTGAGCAGTTGTTACCTTTTAGGTAAATATTTTATCTTTTCATCACACAGGTAGAAGGTGGCTCAGCAATGTGAAACAGTAACCCACATACACATAGAAAAAAAGAGATTTGGAATATAATCTGATTATTGTCTTTACCTCAGATCTGAGTGTCTGTAGTTTTTTCTTTCTCACCCATTTCCTTGCTCTTTTACTACCTTCCCAGATTAAATCCACACCTGAGAATACTACGCTTTTATCTTTACAGAAAGTACTTTGATGCTGAATGCTTACAAAGCGTTGTGGGAACCTGTGTCTTTTGTGTCTTCCAGAAAAGTATATTGATGTGCCTCAGGATGGGAGAGGTAAGATCAGACTCCATGGAGCAGCTTTCAAGGAAACAATTCAATGACAAGAGCTTAAAAAATGGTGGATAGCAGCAGAGAGAGAAAAAGGACCGGATGGAGGTTGACCAAGTCACCTGGAGAGAAACATCTTTCAGACAACCTCTATAGGCAAACAATGTAGGAAGAATTTCCAGAAGACATAGTCCGTAAGCAATATTTTAATTTTAGACCACCAATATTATCTTTGAAAGGAAACATAATGTCTGAGAAAGTGCTCAGTAGGAAGAAAATAAAGTTGCTCTGGCAAATCTGGACAAAGGTGGAAAAAGATCACAAGACAAACCTTTGGTACATAACTTTTCTTTGCCTCCCCATCCATCTATTGCCATTTGAGCCTAATCTAAATGTCGGAATAAGGAATGTGAGTTTTTCCAAAGTTCTCTGGTGATTACTTCGTTGCAATAGAGTAGATGCTGGCCATCCCCACGTTGTCATGCATAACAAGGTATGTGAAGCCTTTAATACCAATCAAACTGCAGGATAGCATCTGATATCAAACACCTGAATACATCTCAGCTTCAGCTTCACATGCTTTTCTGAAGAGGGGAGCTTTTATTAAGAAGCAACAGACACCCCATTCCTCCCCCATACTCCTTGAAGCTGAAAGAATATTAGAAGACAAGCAACAACCTTTGTATTACAAAAGCAATAATACCATTGTCCCTTTGCTTTACAAGGCAATAATCCAATTCCCTCAGCCACTGACTAGTGTCAGAGTTTATCCCTCTCAAATCTAAGAGTTCACTTGTAAGTCAAAAGAGCAATGATGCTGCCACAGAAGGACATGGAGTACTTGGTCACTAAGTTATGATAGCTTAACTTAACTTTCCACAGGATAGGCTTACTTAAGAATCACACAATATCAATTACACAAACAAATTCTGTGAAATGTAATCATTTGTTAAGATCTATGTGTGGAAAATCTGGCAATGACAACTAAGCAGAGTTCATCTAAAAATTGCAACACAGTGTCACGCTAATACCACATTAATTTTTCCTGCCTAATCTTTTGTCCCATGGATACAAGTAATTTTATGATAATGACTTATTTGATTGTACACCCAGCATGAAGAACACTTTGCCAGTGAGTATAAAGAAGCACCTTGTGAATAAATATTTTTTTATTTTTATTTTTTTAGCCTTTTTGATTTGAGAGCATTTTAGTCTTAAGGTGAACTCAAAAGGGATAGATTCCTGAGAGATCTGAACTAATTCATAGCTAATGAAGTGCATGACAGTATGCAACTGAATTCCCCAGGAACAATTACTGCTGGGGGAGCCAGCAGGACTAGAGAGCATAGGAGTGCCTGGTCTCCAAAGAAGATCTGAAGAGGATACTGATATGCTCAAGTCCCTTTTCTTTGCAATCCAACTGGCAAAAATAATATAAAAAAAAAAGCAGAGTACCTCTGTACAGAGGCAGGCAACAACTAACTACCAAGAACTCAAATGCTGCAGATAAGTATGTCAGCCTGCAGGTATTAGGCTCCGTCTTGCTCTAGGTAAGCAGAAGCCTGGCTGCCCTCTCTCTTTGCAGAATGTGTGTTCTTCTTTGCAGCTTCAAATAAAAAGCAGTCAGTACTTTTTAAACCTTGTTTCACTCCAAACACAGCGGACCTTAGTTTTTCACAAGAACATTTCATTAGTGCATGGCAGAAGAATTAAGGAACTTCAGCTGGGAACAAAAAAGAATCTCCTGCAAACAAGCACCATAAGTAGCTTGCAGATATCAGCACAGCCCCTGTGGCTCTATCGTGGGAGCCTGGAGCTTCAGCAGGGGAATAAGCTGAGCTCTGAGAGTTGGCAGATCTCTCCTATTGAGGACACATGCTGATGCTAGCAGGGCCACCTTGCAAGAACAGCAAGGAAGCCAAGTAGCTGGAAACAACACTGTCCATGCCTCTGCAGGCATCGTGTCCTCTCCCACTTCCACATTAGCTCCAAGATTCACGATCCCTTGCAGACAGCCACCAAAGTATCTGTGCCTACAGCAGTCAGTCCCACATTGGTGTTTTGCAGTAGGTGTTTGCTCCTTTGGCCTTCTGTCAGCATCTTCTTTCATTGTGAGGCAATGGGCCACAGAGAGCTTTGTAAAAACTTATGTTCATGGAGGAATTTGTATTAGATACTGATTTGTGTGAATTACTGTATTTTGTAAGGGTTTTTTTCCCTCTGGGAATTGTGCGTTATTAATGAGCAGTTTTATGCTTTACTTCTAGTACATGTATACCTTGTAATTGATGAGCAGTTTTCTTTGTTTTCCTTTGATTCTACATACAAAGCCAGTTTATATAAGGTAGATACTCTCTGGCTGAAGTTCTGATTTTGCCTACCAATTAATTTATGGATAAATCCACATTGTAGCTGATGATGTGCATCAACTGTGTTGCTATAATCACCTGATAGCCTACCTAGTTTTGCAGAATAGACCTTGAATAAGACTAATGCTTGCTGGGCCTTAAACTAAAGGGAAGCAGTGCATACACATTTCCCAACCTTGACTTCTGTCAGCCCTTCTCCCACACTGATTCCCCACACTGACAAGATGTTGCAGAAGAGCACTGCTAGACAAAAGGTAGCCTGAACATGCCAAACTTCTGTATAGCAGAGGTCTGATAGTGCCATGCATTCACCTGACCAAAGTAATCGTGGTGTACCAGATGAACTGCAATGAATCATTCAAGTATTTCTGCAGAAAGAGCCTGGTTCAAACACGATCTCTCTCTAAAAGAAAAGACCTAGGCTAAAATATATTTCTCAGTTTCCATCCTGATATAGTTTGGAAAACAAAGGATATAAAATTAACAAAAAGTGCATAATTTCATTGTACACCCTGTACACCAATGGCAGCTACTTCAGTGGCTGTTAATTACATTTGTGTTCCAGAAGCCTTCTTCCTCATCCAACTCATCTTCTCTCCTACTTTTTACCAAGAACTGAGTGTCCAACTTCTTAATAATTGCTGTGCGTAACATAGAACATAAAAAGATACGTAATACAGCTTGTGCAGGACTTGGTGTTGTAATTAACCATATTTTGTGCCTGGTTATCGATTGTACAAAAAAACAGAAAGTGATTACAACCTGGCCTTTTAATGTATACATCAGCATATTGTAGCAGCTATTTTAGATAACTGTTTTTAATAGTTTTACTATGGTTGTAATTTCTATACGAGGACTGTCCACTTACAGAAGTGTTCAAGTAATGCATCAAAGCAATTTTTGAAGCTAGTTCTATTTAATTACCAGTGGTGATGTATGAAAATTAGGACAACTGAAACAAAACCCAAAACCCAACCAACTCACTGGAAGGAAGCATATTTTCTCATCCTTGAAAATTCTAATTTGAAAATTGCGTAAGACAGACATTTTTTTCTAGTCCTCTTTTTATATAAGTAGTAAATCACTAAGAAGATAATAGATACAGTACAATAGTCCATTTTAATAGTCTACAGTCAAATTTTAGGCTAATTAAGCAAACTAGAAATTCTAGGGTTACAGTGATTTCTCACTATGGATATGCTGACGATAATACTGTTTACATAACACTCGATGTTTGAAATCAATATGTGCCAGTGTCAGTGATTTGCTAATCTAGTTTTTGATCTAAACCTGTCCTGTTTTTTGCAGCATACTTAACTTCATATTATGAATCATGTTGTCTTTCTAAAGTGGTTGCCAAGTAAACCAAAAATGTGTTTTACACTGCTATTGCACTGCTCTTGTCTTTATATACAGTAGTTTTTATAAAGATGTCCTTAGGTTTTAATAAATGAGTGTAATGTAAACTATTCTCTATAATAAAACTTGCTTTAATGTTTCAAGACCATCTGGAATAGCTTTAGAGGTCTGAGTTTCCAACCTCTTTCGGTAGCTTGAGACTTCATGTCTTCCCTCTTCACGTGCAGGGAAATCCCCAGATACCAATACTCTGTAGTTTATATAAGTGGAAATGAAGAAGACTTTGTATTTAGCACAAGCAACAATGCTTGGGCTTGAAGGGAAAAAAATAAAAAAGGCTAAGGCTTTTAGATTGGTGTCACAAGTAGCACTTGCCAACACATGGTCCATTAAGTCTGCATTACATTTCCAGCAGCTACTAATACCAGATACTTTAGAGGAAAGTGTGGGATGTTTAACAAAGACTGCTAGAAATAAACATAATCTTTCCACTACTCAGGACTAGCTGAGAAGCCAAATATGCAACTGAGCAGAAGGAATGTACCACACTGCTTTCCACACATGTGATGGCAGCTTCACCACCCCAGCTGAAGTGGGGTGAATACATTTCAACTTGCTTGTAAAAAAGATGGAATCCACAGCTCACCAAGGCAAGGCTTACATTTTTCTTCTGTTGGACCAAAGGACTCAGAGTTTCCCAGAAAGGCTCAGACCTTCTGAGCACATGGTGCTCTCTCAAGTCCCTTTGTCACACTGCCAATATTCCAGAAAATCTTTAGCATACCTAGCTGAAATTTCAACTTTTGGACTAGTCAGAGGGGGCATTTTTGACTGCCAAGTTGTACCTGTACAAACTCAGAGAGACAAACACAATTACTGTTCTATGTTGGTAGCCTTGCTTATACTTAATTCTTCTCCTCCACTCACCCACTCCTCAAGAAAAAGTCTCTGGCATCTTCAGTAGCACTCAGAGTGAGCTTGGGCCCTAGCACAATGCATGGCAACACAGAGAGGACTTAGAATCATAGAATCATAGAATCACCAAGGTTGGAAAATACCTAAAAGATCACCCAGTCCAACCGTTCACCTATTCCCAATAGCTCCCACTAAACCATGTCCCTCAACACAACATCCAGCCTTTCCTTGAACACCCCCAGGCTCGGTGACTCCACCACCTCCCTGGGTGGTGCCTGACCACCCTTTCTGAAAAGTAATACCTCCTCATGTCCAGCCTGAATCTCCCCTGCCGTAGCTTGAAGCCATTCCCCCTGGTCCTATCACTAATGACACGAGAGAAGAGGCCGACCCCCAGCTCACTACAACCTCCCTTCAGGAAGTTATAGAGAGCAATGAGGTCTCCCCTGAGCCTCCTCTACTCCAGGCTGAACATTCCCAGCTCCTTCAGCAGCTCCTCATAAGCCCTGTGCTCCAGACCCCTCACCAGCTTTGTTGCCCTCCTTTGAACACGTTCCAGGGCCTCAATGTCTTTCTTGCAGTGAGGGGCCCAAAACTGGACACAGTACTCGAGGTGCGGCCTCACCAGTGCTGAGTGCAGGGGAACAATCACCTCTCTGCTCCTGCTTGCAACACTGTTTCTGATGCAAGCCAGGATGCCATTGGCCTTCTTGGCCACCTGGGCACACTGCTGGCTCATGTTCAGCCGAGCATCAATCAATACCCCCAGGTCCATTTCCTCTACGCAGTCCTCCAGCCACACCGCCCCAAGCCTGTAGCGTCGCCTGGGGTTGTTGTGGCCGAAGTGCAGGACCCGGCATTTGGCCTTGTTGAAACTCATCCCATTGGCTTCAGCCCAGCTCTCCAGCCTGTCCAGATCCCTCTGTAGGGCCTCGCTACCCCCAGGCAGATCCACACTTCCAGCCAATTTGGTGTCATCTGCGAATTTACTGAGTTTGCACTCGATGCCCTCATCGAGGTCATCAATAAAGATATTGAAGAGGACAGGCCCCAGCACCGACCCCTGGGGAACACCACTCACAACCGGTCGCCAGCTGGATTTGACTCCATTCACCACTTGGAGGGGCTTCCTGCCCTCTGGTGTGATCTGTGTCCCCAGACAGAAGCAGCTCCTCTCCTGCAGCTCCCTGGCTCCCTAGTGAATGTTCTCCTACACTGGAAAAGGCAGAGGAACATCAAATCAAAATTAAAGTATAGACGTATCTGAGAAATCCATTGTAATGTCAATTATTTCCTGCAATAAAGATCATTCCTGCAGTTTCTATATCTGCGCACATCAGCTCAGAAATACAACATTTTCATTAAAGCAACACTTTAATAATTCTTCCTTTACTTGCAACTGCAATTACTTCCCACTGTGCTCACTCACAGAGACATATGGCAAAGAATGGGAGGACAAAAGATGGTTTTAAAAATAGCTACAAATAATCATAGCCCACTTCCCTTCTCAAACTGTATTTGCAGTTATGAAGACAGATCCATTCATAAGGTCAGACAAATGACAGAAGAAGAGTAAATTGATAGATGAAGTGTGTTACGGCTCCCTTACCGAATTTCCACAATGTTTACAGCGCATTTCTAGTAATTGAGTAAGAATTATATTCAAGACATTATGCTCAGCAGGAGCAGCTTTTATATACCAAGCAAGCAAATGAGATATCTCTGAAAAGTCACAAAAGATGTTAGGATGTCGATAGTGACTTAGAGACTGCCATTACCGAGCCATTATCGCCAACTCATAAACAAACAGGAGCATCAGTTCCTTTAAATTACATGCTTGCTTTGCTGGAAAGCAAAGTTGGTGTTGAGCTGCTCATCATGCACACATACAGACAGAAAGACAAGAAGAGAAAAGTGTCTTTAGTGATGACATTTACTTCTGAGACAACAAAACTCTGCCCAGCTCTCTTTAGATATTCTCATCAGTTAATTCAGTCCATGTGTGAAGTGGAGGCTGGGGGGACACCAAGCTTTTAGGCATGTGTGAGCATTCATGTGTAAGCATAATGTTTTGAATTTCTGAGTCAGAATTCTGATCCTGTGCTTTGGAATGCTGTGCTGTACAGAGCCTCAAGATCTTTACATTTTCAGTGCATCATTCAGTGCATCATCATCCTTAAGTGTGATCGCTGGGATTTATTTCAGGATAAAATTTCAGGATTTATTTATAAGGATAACAAGAAATCCTCCAGATTTTAAGATGAACTGAGGAGTCACATAGAGAGAAAAAAACTCGTGCCTCTCAGCAGTACCTTTCCATCAGCTAGCCTTTGCACCTTTCTTTTTACATACATTTCCAACATAAACACAAAGTGATTTGCTCTGCTGCAATGCAAGCATCCAGTTGAGATGCCTGCATTCCCTTCTGCCTCTGCCTGCACAGGACAGCACTCCTAATGATTCTTCCATGCACTCTTCCAGCTTCCCAGTGGGAGTGCAGTTCACACCTCCTAGGGGCTGGTGCTCGTCACCAAAACAACACAGCTTCCTTAATGTAAGTTGTGTGCCTGCATACATACTTCTTATTGTGCAAGGCTGCTTTATTTTTCTGATTTATTTTTTTTTTAAGCTAGGGAATATTGACTTCATACTTCTCAACCATTGCTATCCCTTTACTCAGTTAACTCAAGTTTACTCAAGTAAAGAGCTATTTTCAGTTGACCTCAAGTTTTACCTCCCCCACAGAGAACCTACCTGCTTCATTCTCCAGTATTAGCTAGCCCAACCGTTAGTATATTAGATCACCAATAATTAATATTATGTGCTGTCAGACTGCTCACTGTGAATTTCACTTCCTCCAGCATTACCGATTTTATTGGGAAATCCTTTACTGGGTGGCAGCCTTGTATGACATACCACTCCTGTTGATGATGGGGCAGTGAGGGCTGGCTCTATATGCTCCATTATAGTTTTAACTACAGAGCACACATCCTCTTTCCTGAATAAACACTTCCAGAAAAAGTCAATTGCGAATTTATCCAGTAACGAGATCCCTGTGCTATGCCTGTTGTTATTCTGCAGAAACAGGTTAAAGGCATCTTTTTCCTGTAGATAATAAAAAATTAAGTGGAAAGCCCCAAGCCCTAGCAGAATGAACCATGCAACACTGTCAGCCTCATAGATTTTATGTTCAGTTACGCCACTCATACAAACACACATAAGCCCACAGTTAAGTTCTTGTCAAGCCCATGAGCTGCACAGTAGGCAACTCCATGGTGTTCATGGTGAGCTTCTTCCAGCTCTGATTGCTGCTCTCACTGAAGCAGCAAGTGCTTTCTCATCCACCTGCAGATGCTCCATCTTCCCACCTCCACAAGGCAGAGCCATGCCTCTGAGCACTGAGCATGCCTGCACACAGGTGCAAGGACCAACGCTGGGCTTCTTTGAGTGCTTCCACTCCTAGGCTGCACGTGAGCTTTTCCCAGTCATGACACTGTCTGCTGATGCCACTGATTGCAGTCCTGTTTCCTTTCCCAATGACCATCACTCTCACAGCAAGGGGATAGGTACCACAGACATTCAGACATGCCTGACACTGGAACTGATTCAGGACTGAGATAAAATAGGTTACTTGGGTTACTTATGCACCACTTTTTCTCTTACATCCTCCTCCAGCTTCCTAATGGTCAGGATTTCCACAGGAAATCAGGCATTATGGGGGAGAATCAGCAACATTAAGAAATCCTTTCTTTTCACCTTCTACCCATGACATGGATGAATGCATGCATTAAAGCTTCCAGCATCATTTTGCACAGACACACGTTCCTTCTCAGCAGGAATGAACAAATTGAGCAAATTAATTCTCAGTGCCATATCTCTTTCCTGACAGCTAAACGCTGGATCAAGGTTTCTGTTCCCATTCCTCCAGCTGGTACTAGGCTCCTGTTCTCCTTTGCAAGTCTTGTAAGCCTGCACCTGCACTCACTGGGACAGACAGTGCAGGGCCACTGATGCAGGGTCAGTGCTGTAGGGCCGGCATGCTCTGTCCCAGACATTTCCCCAAAGAGTCTCCTCCTCAAGAGCAGTGGAGGGCTCTTGCAGTGGATGCTAGAGCCATGCTTCTGCAGCTTTGTTTGACATTCCCTGCTGCTGTGTCCTTTCCAAGAGACTAAATA